AACTCTCACCATTTAGTAGCCCTTAGCTTTGGTCAATATTTGTCTTATGTGTTTCTGTTGCTCCCACAATCTTAGTGTTTGTTAGATACAGAGAAATTTCGTTAAAGATCCGTACGTACTTTAAGAAACTACCGATCTTGGGCTTCCATTGTAGCGACGCCCCCTCTAACTTGTAGGAATCACGATGTCGAAGAAGGGAGTACGGATCGGGCAATATCATATTCCGGAGGAAGGTAGGAATCACGAAATCAGAAATTTATCTGCGTTCCGTCACTTAGGAGTGGATAGATGCTTTATGATGAAATTCTGGAGCTTACCAGGTGCACTGGCTTGGATTGTGTAGATTAATCAAACCGACCTCGGCGGAAGTGGCAAACGAGCAAAAACATCCGCTGTTGTTATCAGTTATTGTAGTGGGGGCCGATTCGCATAAAGTTAATTTTTTCCTCTTTTTACTTCCAGTTGAAAAGTCTGTAGATGTATCGACACAAAGTCGATGTACCACGGTCTTCCGCGCACATATTCCAAAACCTCCGAGCTGAGGTGCATTCATTACCAACATATGAGACGTGGCGTATATACACATATATATTTAGTGTGCGCAAGCTTGAATTTAAACTAAACAAATGTGCTATGGTTGTACATTTGTTGGTGGACGCCGGTGCCACCAGTTCGGATAGTTTCAATGAAGTATCGGAAGACCTGATGTAATCTTTTCCTGCGCACTATTAAGAGGTCATTTCGGCCAAAGGGGTAATCCTCTAAGGTTCTTCTCCCTACGATGTATGTGACCGCAAGCTGTCGAACGTGGGTGCGTTTGTCCACAGTCGTGTTTGTATGAAAATCTATATGTTTTGTACATGAAATATGACTTCTACTTCTGCAGGACCTTATCTGATGGTGCACATTTTTTCAAAATTACCCTTTTTCTCATGAAAATCAATATCTATCTCAGCTGATCTTATTTTCATTATCTGAGTAGCGAATAGTACGAATTATTATCGTAACGTCTCGAAAACGTAATCCGAAATCGAAAGGTTGTTTCAAGACAAAAGACTGAACGATCCATTCAAAATATTAATGGAAAACACCACGTCATCGTTGCTTCAGGATTTCGCTGGCACTAGGCAGAAGCTCGCTCCTGGATATACTTCACGCCCTTGGTATAAACTTCCTGTTTGTCGCCACCGCTGTGATTTCGGTTGAGTGGCGGCGTCGCGACTTTCGAAACAATTCAGCCGCCAACTGGTCGGCATTAGCAATTCAATTTATTACGAAAGCATTTAATTTCTTTAAGCATCGAATCGCATTGCGATGCTTTGTCCGGTTGTTTGAGTGACTGTTACAATGTACCATTGGCAGCTAATGGCGATCGCAAAATGGTTTCTTATCGGTGACGTAACAGATTTCCGCATGGACACATCATGAGGCTGACGTTGTTGTATATAACGCTATGATATCGATACGAATCATGCTCTCGTACCTGATTCTATCAAGTACAAGTTTCGTGTACTTACGTGACGTCATTAAGGGTAGCGAAGATAATGAACATTGTAGCAAGTTGTACGTGAAAAGCAATTTCCTTGGAAAAAGGCGGGTATTAATAAGTTTTACTTGAAAACTTATTAATACCCCCCTTCTGTCGTTGTGAACAACGTCTCCAATAGAGGAACAACATCTATGTATTTCAATACACGTCGCCATTAAGAATAAAGCAAGTATTGTCGTCGGGAATATGTTAAAGGCCAGATGTTGTTACTGAGCTAGCCTCAATGCAGGACGGTAAATTCCCAAGGAGTATTGATTTCCTAGATAGAATACTGCGATGATGAATTGTAGGGCGATATAAAAAGATCGAATTGATGTTGTTATAAAGGAACATTGTGTTCCAAGCTACGTATCCTATAAATACAATTGAACGTTTACTATTCGTCAAAGTGTGTTACTTCAATGTTTTCAACTGTTTGTATAGAAGCTGATATTTCGAAGCGTTAACCAGCTAAATGTTTACAAACAAATTCTAGGTAAACGTCTAAATGCTATGAACAAGCTGAGACTGGTTTATGAACAGTAACTTGTAGCCCCCATGCTAGATGCGATTTCTGGTATTATCTGGGTCGTAAATGCTTTTTCAATCGTATTATTTCAGTCTCATTATTGGATTACATCATGTTCGTCCTAGACTAACATGACCGCATAGAGAGGGACTTTCGAGTAAAAAGTACATTTGAAGCAATGGTTTCCATGCAGCTATGTAAGCGCGAAAACATGCAAACTAGCAAATTGCTATTTTCTGTTCTTCAGAAGTATGTGTCACGCAGGCACTCTGAAAACAAAACATTTTTTTCTCTATTTCAGCAGGTTGTTTCTACATAAAGCGTACAATACAGTGTCGCTATTTTGCGTTTGTATAATAGACACATTCTGTATATGGAACAATACTGCACTAGTTGATGCAAATATAATTTTCTATCGTTAGTATGAAATACTGGTAGGATCTACGAACATTTGTTCTTACTGATCTTCGAGTGGAATTACTTGAAAGACAGTCTTTAGATCACTTCCTTGGTAAATCTATTTAGCATATGTTCAAGCTCAGTAACATAAACTTTTGAGAGACGTTTATTTTCAGAAAACAAAGCTTATCTATGATTTTTTTTGTTGCACGCTATCGACGGTTGAGCATACGGGAGATTTCTCTTGACGGTTGCGAGTAGGAAGACCTTTATACTAATTGGTATGTAGTTGAAATAAACGAGAATGCTTTCGAAGATATTGCAGCTGTGCCACGTTTGCGTGCCCCTCTGGTAAGCCGAGTTCTACCTCATCGACTGCTAGTTGAAACTCATGTAGGTAGTTTCTAATACATAGGTAGTTCTTTGGAATAAGCCTGGTAAATGCTAAGTAAAATCCGCTCGCGTAGATTAAATTGAAACAAAAATAAAACAAACGCGTTAATTAAGGCAAGCCCGTTTTACGAGGCTAGCTTCCGATGATTTACGAATTAGTCGCTATATTGTACGAAGTGGGCGCCTTAGGGCTCGCACAGTTCTTAATGGCTAACTTATTCGGCTCTCCATACATCAGTAAAGCTACCTTTCTTCGATCGGAAATTTGTTCGGTCCTCGGATAATATATAATAGGATCGGAAACCTTCGTAAAGGCCACAATCTTTTTTAAATGAAAAGACATTCACAAAAGCTGTAAACCGACTAAAAATGATAACGAAACGTACGCAAGCCGAAGAACACATTTTTGTGATAAGTTAGTGCGGTTTTATGAAGCACCGTATTGATGTTGAAGCATACAATACTTATACGAAAAATATTCTCGGAACAAAATCTGTAACAATAAGAATCTTTTCGGTGCGACGTGTTACAATTGTATGAAGTTATCAGAAACTCGTTCATGTGTTTCTACACCTACTTCAAGAAGTCGGACGCAAACCAATCGTATCATAAGATATTTCTAGCTATATTTATGATACGTGGAATGCCAGGTAAAGATCGTGCATCAGCTAACTTCCTAACTAACACCCTGTGGTGTTAGTCATTTCACCTTGTTCGGTTTAGACGTTATCCCTATGCCGTGACGAGAATGGTCTCTATACTAGAACAACTTATCCGGCAACTTATTACCATCGATGCCCGGTTCCGACTTCCCACGGTTTGGTGCTGTGAATGCATTTCTCGATACTCAGTCAGAAGTGACTCCTTGAGCTTCAGAAGGTGCTATCTTGTGTATGTCCTGAGCCGGCAGGTTATGATATTACATAGGCGCTATTTGGATAGGTTGAAATAAAATTAGCATGCTACAGACACGAAAGAGGAATTGCCGAACATGTACAGTCTTGAATCGCTTTCAAAGATCGTCGTTTACATTCTACCGTGCTAAATGAACTTTCAACTCAGGCTCTCATAGAATGAGGACTTGAGCTGAAGGCTTTTTTAATTTACGCTTCCCAGTGGTCGAGTCACTTATAGGAAGATAGAAAACATTTTTTCAATATCACTTTGGTCGCTTTGTTATAAGTATAATCGTATTTTCAAGATGTGGTTTTGTACCCATCATGTCGTGATCTGCAAAACATGGGACACTCTTTATGTGCTCATGTTCAAACTTTCACTCAAACTGCGTATTCATTACAAGCCTGGCAATCCAAAGATAACACTTTAAGAAAAAATCTCTTCTTCTTCATTACCAGGCCGCAACCAACGCTTTCTAAACTTTTCATTCGCTTTCAAAATTTACATAGGTCTCGTATTTGTTTTTGCTTTTAGTTTCCGCCAACAGGATCTAAATTTGCTGCGTTCTATTGAAGAAGCAGAGTAAAGTTCCATTGCAAATATAGATATTGCAGTACTTTTCTAAAGGTGCACTTTGTGTTACAAATTTTAATCTAAGATAAGACTGGAGGTCGAGTGCATCTGGTATGCTGACCGTTTATAAATTTTTGACGGTGCCGTCGTCACAAGGTGTATTTAGTCCATATAGTTGACCCTGTTTCGATTTCAAAACAAATTAGCTACTATTGGTTGGATCTTTTAGTAGATAGATAAGATACGCAAGGTAACAGTGCGTGTAACGAGCGTATACTCACAAACAATTTGTTGTCTCTTTTATCTATAAAAACCAAAGGGGAACATTTTCATCTTTATCTTTTTTTTTCTAATAATATTTTTCTAATAAAAAAGATATAAGATATCTTTTTTCGAAATCAGTTTTCTCCGATTTTTTTGGAATCGACATTATCAGCATTGTCTATACTAGAGATAACGTTTACGTTTAGATCACTGTGTACAAATAAATTAGTTATTCAATGTCGGAGCATTTTAGTACCAGTTATTGCCACATTGAAAATACGCTTCCTGTGACATCAGATCGATAAGTCCTCAAATTCTTTTTGGTATTAATGCTCAGCTGGGCAAACAAAGGCATGGGCACAGAAAGGAGTGCTCAGGATATGTTCTAATCACACTGTCACTACTATTTCCGTACAGAACCAAAAGGACTCTGACGTTCCGCGAATACCAGCAATTCGTAGAGGGCGTCGCCAAATCTAAGAAGATTCCTGTCGAGGAGATCCGTTTCAAATTGTGTAACTGCGGGCCGCCATCGTTCGGCGGACGCCCTCCTATCCAGGTGAGAAGCAATTCTTGTTTTTTTTTTTGTTTTGCTTTTTATAAGACCTTAGTAGCATTATTGGTCATAAGGAAAGGCTGATTTCTAGATTATCGAAACTAGCGATACCTATTAGTCGAGGTAAATGGCCCTCTCGTTCGTCAGCGATGACCAAGCAACGTTTGTCGCCATACTGATTCATCGGTAGAAGTGAAAACTTGCTGGTTGGTGGACCATATTTTGTTTCGACCCTACCTAGCGCTGAGTTCAGCTACTTCTAGAGAACAACTTCAAGCCGTAGAAGGCTACTTTAACCGTCGTTTTCTCGAGTACTACACGGCGAACACTCGTCACAAACGACATAGCAAGTTACATCCATGGTATTTGCAAAATATGGACATCGATCAAATATTATCGGCCGTTCTTCATGAGGCCATTAATCGTGAGTGTGGAATCAACAAGTTCGAGCACAGATTTAGCAACGATTTTCGTGGCTAAGAGACGATTAGAGATCGACATAAAGGACTCTCTCAAGGCTTTCTAACTAGCGGCACACACGCCTTTCAACAGAACGGTTCGAACACCGTTCTGTTGAAAGACATGTGCTCAACATGTGCCTTTTGAGTTCGTGCAGTACTCCAGTGAGCCGGGCGACTAACTGCGTTCGTAACTGCGGCGGATTCCTGTGTGGGAATATGCTCGATGACGTCGTCTGTAGCTTCGTTACCTGAGACAAAGACTCGTTCGAACAAGCTTAAGCGCATAGATTTCCAGGAATTAATTTTGTCGGTAGCCATCGTTACGTCGTCTGGGATGTCTCAAATATATGCTGCATCTTCCTTTACAACACTGGAGGCAGCACAACAGCATAATCTTCTGTTAACAAGATCACCAAGTCACTATTTTCAGCGCGGATACAGATATTCTTTGTGCTTTTAATTACTTAGCATTCAAATCCGCAAGACATCAGTTTGAAGAAGCCAGGTGGCCGCGATACTCCATGTTGGTAAGAGGAGTGAAAAACATCAGCAACTAGCCACCAGAGCCATTTTCTCAATGCTGCCAAGTTGAAGAAACAATATTTGTGCTGCTCTGCTCAAACCGCTTTAACGAGCATCTTTCGCGAACCCCTCTTGCGCAAAGCACAATCGTAAACTCCCTCTAGATATATTGCTCAATCACTGACATCAGCTGATATCTGTGAAAGGATTTGAGTGTGACTACGCTAACCTTGTTAGCGGATCGAGCATCCAAAGTAAGTTGAAAACACGTCGTGAAACATGCAAGGAGAGGCTCCTTTTTCGTATTGGAATTGAACGTAACTTAGCTAAGCATTTAACAATGTTCTAGCAGCAGACAGAGAGCCAAGAACAGACTTGAGCTCTAACCGCTATAAATTACATTTGATGGCTTCTATGTGCGCTTTCTACGCATTAATACTGCTTAGTCAAATCGCAGCAAATGCTTCGAGGCTCTCTGTCACTCCGAGACGTTTGACCGAATTTTCTAAGCTTTCGCACTTCAGAGTCGACAGGTCAATCCTCCGGGGCTGACTAGGCGTAGGCTCTTTAGCGCACTGATTGATAGTCGTAATGGCAATGACGGCGGTAGTCCCGAAACAGCTTCGCACTTTTACGCGTTTATGTAGCGTTCAATGGTCTAGAGGGCCTGCTACCGCTGGTGTTAGACAAATTGAGTAGTTTGTAATACGGTAGCTGTTTGAAAGCTTAATGCCAGACGTGCTATCTCAGACGTAGTTCCTCTTCCGTATTAATTAAGCTGTAACAGCCAGGTTTAATAATCAATTTCCAAAGCCAACTCAGCCTGCCGATATTAGAGCGACTACTGGGCTTAATTAGGGTTTTTTTTATTATAGGTTCACACGGGCCCTTAATTAAAAATTCATTATATCAAGCAGCAGCAGTAAAGCACCTGGAAAAAATCACAGTCACCATTATAACTGAGATAGACCCTTTAGGCCCGGTCAACAGATGCTGGCTGATTGATTCAATTAAACAAGATCTTTAGACGTAATGATTTAACCAGGTGGGTCCCATCAATATTAACCCAGAGGGTTAATAGGACTGCGCTGTATTGAAATCGACTCCGGTTCGGAGTTCCACTACTGCTAAGCTCCTCGAACGTGCCATATAACTGAAGGGATTTAAAAGTTTCAATGACGTTTATCCCCGATGCCTTGAAAAGGGTCTTTCCTTCAGTCCCTAACCTTTTTCACGTCTAACCTAGTTGGCCTCCCAAATCTCTCTTAACCGGTGGCATTGAATGACCGACCTAACTCACTTTGTGGTCTATTTGCCGAATACGTAAGGGCATCTTGGCTTGCTCCTAATAATAGTGGAGTCGTCAATCTGTGCGATCATGAGCCCCGCATATGACAACTCTCATAGGTCGTGTTTTTCCCTCCGTCTCAGGTAGCCACTGGGACGGGCAAAGAATTACCGAAGTGATGAACAGTGTACTTCAATAGGTCCCGTTGGGCGCTTAAATAGAAGTATCTGGCCACGAAAGAAGCTGTATCATTCTATTGAAATGTTTCTATCGAGTAAAGCCTTAGCTTACATGAATCTCTTACTCTAAGCGTTGCTACCCGGAGTTGCGTGCTTATAGCGATATATGGTGCTGCAACGATCCGGAAGTGTGTCCTATACACTGATGCCACATATTTTTAAATTGAATATAGAAAAAATGTAACGATTGCGACACAATGCGTAGCTTATTTACATTTGACAAATGGTAGAGCAGCTTTTTGTGCGTTAGACAGAAGCATTGTTTCATGCAGATTTCTGCAAATTGCGTTTTATAGTCTACTTCCAAAGCCGGACATCGGAACGCCTTTAGTAGCCCGTCACAGTCGGGAGCACTTTTTCGTTTGGGCTTATTGGAGATAATAATTCCACTTGAAAGCGATGACTGACGAATCCCGTAGTATTAAACTGCCGTTCGATGATGCTTGGCTTCGCTGTGCCTATGAAAACTTACATGACCATCGAATGACAGAGCAGATAGGCGACTTAATTGAGTTAAGAAACACATTTCGTAGCATTTGTTGTTATAAATAATCTGCGTGTTGATGTTGTTTCAAGAGATACCTTTCTATTATATGCAAATGTCTTATACCCATAGGTTGCTTGATGAGGTGACAAAAAAAAAAGCGCCTTAGACACGAGCCTTGCGGAGTGATATGAGGTGCACTCAAGTCAATCTGAGATCCAATACGTAACAATTGCAGAGTAATCATTTTACTGCAGTATCTAGCAAAGCAGGAGAAGCTGGGATTCGTCCTGGCTAATACTTCTACAAATTCGAGATACAGTAGGATAGTAGTTTGTGATATGACTAACCGTTAATAGCTGGGTGGCAGCCGACTAACTTTTAATGAAACGATGTCACCAAGAAAGTTGTTTGCAAAGAAGAAAGTCAACAATTTCTTCCATAATTAAATACAGAATAGAAAATTGCAATACATGCCGATAGTTCGTTATCAGCGGCCTCGATGCTTTCCTGTAAGGGGGTGGAGGTGATGGCTGATTATTGAAACTAATTTAATTTCGTTTCAATAGATCACCTGAGTCATTGCAATTTAGAAAAGCGTATCTGGTTGGCAATTGCAACAATGATCTATTCCGTTCCGGGAAGACTTCAACTAAGGCTTCGGTGAAGCACGTTTATAAATGCGAGGACCAATCTAGTCGATTACGTAGTCTTCTATCGAACTAGGTCTAATCGAATGATTGTAATCTTGTCTCTTAATAAGACTGCTTAATCATGCACATACTCCACAGTAAATCCTGCTAAGTGAGCAAAAAAGAGGTATCTACAACAATTAATATAGCACGTAAAACACTGATATAGCAACTCCTCATTTGCTGTACACTTTTTAGCTGAATTTCTTCAGTAGTTCTTCAGAATTCCTCATCTCGGTACATTTCAATTTTTAGATCTGGTTGGCTGCTAATACGAAACGAAGTGTGTAACTGTGGCCGGATTCGAACCTAGACCTAATATCATCTAACTAGTAGAGTCTGTCTTTGTTGAGCAATCGAGCAGTGTGTACACCCACACAGGTCAACCAACAATGCTATAATAGGCATTTATAATGACGAATAGTGACTCACTACTCGTTACTATATAACACAATAATGCACAAAACCACTCATTGTTATAAGCGAACCACTTTACCACATGAAGACATCGATTTTCAGCAACTGTCAGCTAAGATTAATGTACGTGCACCAGGCAAGTAAGCCCTCAATTGAAAATCATAGGTATGAGATTATCCAAAGGATAGGTCGAAGGTACGAGTCTCCAGGGTCGACCCAAATGACTCTATCGTGTCTCCCATCTAGCATGTTTTCAACCACAGTGACTGTGCCTACAGAGGGTAAACGTGTGCCGGTTACTCTTTCAAGAGATGAGCCCAAGCGTGCTACAGCTGGTTTAAACTAGCATATTTGATTTCCATATAGATTTCTGTGGACACATATACAGAGGCACATATAAAGACCCTTACCAATTTAAATTTTTTAAGTAATTTGCATCGTTCGAACAATATCCGAGAGCTCTTATAATTGTATAACTTCAGCTACAGTATGTGTGTTGGAGCTTTGCGATACGCCCACAATCGTTGAAACGGCTGAAATTCATGCTGACTTGAGCGAGCTTCATTCACTGTCTTTATTTAACGTTCGCCAATTTAATCAGTGAAGTCTTTTTGCCTTTTTTTTTTTTTGTTTATGTCGCAATCTCCGTTGTTATCCTACTGCTGTTATTGACTTGGAACGACTTTCGCTCAACTGAAATCAGATCAAAGAAAAATCAAAGAAAATGAATACAAACTATATACAGACAGTGTTTTTAACTAGCTATTCGGCTTGTGTAGTAATTTGACAGAAGCGGGATTACCAAAGTACATTTGAGTGTGCATAACGATTCTTAACTGTGAGTGCTTTAGAACAAAAGGCCAATTTATTATGGGAAAATTTATTTTGTTTGTTCATTAG